GGTATTGTTATAAAACAATGGTGACATGAAAAAGGTACAAATTCTTCAATATTCACAACATTGAAAAATGCTTTCTTTTTTGCCTGTGACTATTTTAGCCAAGGGCTTAAGTGTGTGATCCAGTTAAATTAAATACATTTCTGGGACATAACTTTTAGGTACTATTTTATAAGTTGTTTTTTCTTAAATATTTATTTTTTAGTTGTACACAATACCTTTATTTATTTTTATGTGGTGCTGAGGATCGAACCCAGAGCCTTGTATGTGCTAGGTGAGTGCTCTACCGCTGAACCACAACCCCAGCCCCTATAAGTTAGTTTTGATAAGCAAATCACCAAACCTGTTGATGCAGACCTAAATAGGTTGGTGAAGTAGTTAATAGCTACTTCACTCATTTGTGACCTTTCTTCATTTTGTTGCTCTTATATTTTTAAAAGACAAATAAACAGTAGCCTATCTCCAAGTTCTCTGGAAGTCTAGAAGCTGCTTTCAAAGACCTTTCACTTACCAAAAACAGTGGTCATCTTGCATTTAGTTTGACTGGTGGAGGAATCTTGGCTGGTCACTGCAGGAACTATTCACATTGTGGAAAGGATCTGAAGGAAGAAAGGAAAAGAAGTTACAGTTAATCATGGGGCACATGAGTCAGCTTCATTTTAAGGATTTACTCCTAAGTAGAGAATTCAAAAAACATGGCAAGCCCTAGGGATGGAGAAGGAGAAAGCTGTTAGTCCTCAGGATAATTTTCTTCAAAGCAAATAATTCCTTTCTATATGAACTGCCACAAAAAAACCATGTTAATGTTAAGATGAGTTAAGTATTTGAGGATTTTTTTCATTCCAGATGCTCTTCTGGGTAAATACAAAATAGGTATGTATCTGGAACACTTGGAGGGCTTTGGAATTCGATATTGACAGACCACAGAAGAGTGACTCAGATGTGATATGTCAATATTTCTCCTGAGATTATGGAAGTTCTCTATGAGGGAATGGTTTGTTTTCATTCAGTGCTACAAATGAGTATATTAGTAGTTGAGGCATCAATTGGGATTTAGGATTCCTTTCTCTAGTTTGCAGTGAGCTTTGTTTGTGGCCCGGGGCAACTAACTTTTGCCCCTCTTTTTTTTAATGTTCTGACAAAATGCAAAAATAAAAATATGATGAGATGCCAAGAAGACATTTAAGAATACTCTTCTGGCAGAAGGACATGTATGATGCACCAAAGAGTTGAAAATTTGCTTATTGAAAACATCTGATGATTGACTCTCAAAATGAGAAAAATAATTCTTGCTTTCATATTTGAAAAAGCTTTATTCCATACCCTGGCTAAAGCAATTTAATACCATTTCTTAAGACTATAAAAGTTGTTGCATTTATTGAATGGCTTTCCAACATCTATTTTTAACATATGACGAGTGCTGTTCTTGGCAAGCCCTCAGCAGTGTCCCTAGTGAATGGTCTGCCAGAGTAATTTGAGAGTAAATATTTTGAGGTATTATCATTCCCAGAAGGTTTTTATTAACTAGGTGCTTATATATAGTGCTATTTTAAGGTGGTCTAAATGTTGCTTTTGACTTCATAATTAGGACCCAATTATAATGCTATAGTGGGGGTAGAATCTGAATTTGCTTTGCAGGGAAATTAGGCCATAGCATGCTTTCTCCATTTGGCAGTTATATTCAAAGGGACATGATTCAACTCTAAGTAGAATCGCATAGTTTTGCAGAAACAGCATTAATGATGGGCTAGGTATTGGGTTAGTTGGTTCCCACTTGTTATCTCATTTAATATGTACAATGAGGGCTATTATTCCCATTAGATACACAAGGAAACTGATGCCACAAAGCAGGTAATGGATTCTATGTCCCCATAAATGTGGGAGCAGGGATCTGAATCACTAGACTCTAGAGTCCACGCTTTCAGATGTTCTATGCAGCTTCTTCAGTGTACCATGATATATGCTGATGCACACCTGGTCCTCTGGATCACAGTGAACTAATTGTCTTGCTTTTAAAACCAGGAGTGGTATTCTTCCAGTGCTAATATATTCTCATCTTTGCTGATGACATAAGCTAACTACCAAGAATAAGCAAAACCTTACCAGTGTGTGATTAGTGAATGGAGTGTTTCCTGTGAGACCCTGTGGTAGACAGAATAATGTCACCCCTCAAAGATTTTCATGTTTTTCCAATCTCTGGAACCTATGAATATGTAACATTACATGGCAGACGTTGAGATGGAATTAAGATTGCTAATCAGGTGACTAATATGAGGAGATAAGCTCTGTGGACCTGATGCTATGTGAAAGAGAGTGAGTCAGAAGAGGTCAGAGTGATGTAACATGAGAAGGATTCAGATGGCCTTTGCCAGTTTTGAATATGGAGGAAGGGACCATAAACCAAGGAATGCTGGCAGGTCACAGGAATTGGAGAAGGCAAAGAAAAAAGAGAAAAAGATTCTTTCCTGGACCCTCCAGAAAAAACAAAATAGCTTTCCTGCCACCTTAATTTTAACTAAGAGATCCATTTCAGATTTCCAACTTCCAGAACTGTAAGACAATATATTTATGTTGTTTTAAGCCATTAAATTTATGATAAGTAGTTAAATACAGCCTCTTTATTGATAAAATTTTATTATCAGGGGTCAGCAACAATGGTCTGAAAATATGGCCTGCCACGTTTTTTTAAAATATATATATTTTAGTTGTATTTAGTTTTTTAAATATATATTTTATATTTATATATAAATATATATTTTAATATATTTTTAAATATATATTTTATATATATATATATATATATATATATATATATATATATATATATATTTAGAATACCTTTATTTTATTTTTATGTGGTTCTGAGGATTGAACCCAGTGTCTCACAAGCCCTAGGTGAGTGCTCTACCACTAAGCCACAACCTCAGCTCCCTACCAGTCATGCCCATTTGTTCATATATTGTTCACGACCACTGTGGCAGTTGAGTAGCTGAGGATGAGACCATTGGACCTACAAAGCCTAAAATATTTACTGTTTGACTCCTTATAGAAACAGTTTGCTGACTCCTAACCTACATTATAGTTACAAATACAATACTTAAGCCATGGGTGCAAATTCAATGTAAAAATGTACATAATTTCTTTGAGAAAAATAAATCCTCCTGTTTAACTATTAGTCTAAATTTTCTCTGAACAAAGAATGTAGCAAAATCCTGATCAATTTCATATTAGTTGAAATTCCAAGGCCAAACTACATGAATATAATGTTAAGAAACAAAAGATTTCATGATAGAGGATATTTATGTTGTTAAATATTTAATTTTAATTTTTATCCTTATCCCCCCAAAATTTCCCCAGAATAATTTCCATCTTTTTAAGAAAAAAAAAAAAAGGCTGTTTTTCCATTCTTAAGTCCCTCCTTCCTGCTCTCAGCTGGGGAACTCCTGGGATTGGCAGCATGTGCAGTTCCAAGAGGAAGCCAGTCCAGTACTCTGTTGTGCCCTGCATCAGCCAGCCAGCTAGCTAGCTACTCCCAATTAGCTTCAGCTGGGCCACTTCCTATTTGGGTCACCTCCCTTCTGAAATGGGTGACAGAGGTAGACATTATTGGAATACTGTTGTTCACTTGAACTTGATTATAGAGTGTCATTTCCATTCATGTTTGGCTGTAGTTCTTTTATGACAAATAATATTATAGAATTGTATTTTGTAAAGTGTTTTACTTCTCCTGAGCTCCTTTTTAGCATCCTTGGCTATGGGTCCCAGTGTTTGTTCTGAATGTTTTTTTAAAAAATCTGTTTTCTTGAAATGTTTAAGCTTTTTATTATGGAAAACATTTATAGAAGTAGAAAAGTATAATGAACCTCTTTGGATCTCTCACTTGATTCAATAATTAACTACCAGTGGTCCAATTGCTACATTCTCTACACCCACCTCCTCTCTTCTTGCCTATTTTTTTTTAAGCAAATCCTTAGTATAATATTGTTTTATCCATATACACTCCACTATGTAACTCACACAGATAAGGTCTCTATTTTAGAAATATAGGGTTGGGGTATAGTCAGTGGTACAGTATATGCTTAGCATGTAAGAGGCCTTGAGTTCCATCCCAGCCTTAAAAATAAATGCAAATTAAAACTGCTTAAAAATAATCATAATTCGGGGCTGGGGTTGTGGCTCAGCAGTAGAGCACTTGCCTAGCACAAGTGAGGCCCTGAGTTCGATCCTCAGCACCACATAAAAATAAATAAGTAAAATAAAGGTATTGTGTCCAACTACATCTAAAAAATAAAAAAATATTTTAAAAAATAATCATAATTCATGCCACTTCTTACAAATAATGTAATCATTATACCAGTATCATTTCTTTAAAATTAATTTGTTATTAAATGTCCAGTGTTAGTTGTTTTTTTTTTTTTTTTTAAATATTTGAGCACTTTCAGTGGTTTGTTTTCATTCTCTCCCTGAGGCAAGCTACAATAAAAGTGATAAGAAGGTACAAATATGTTAGTTCCACATTTAAACACCAGTCTCCCCTTAAACTACCTCTCCCTAGAAACAAATCCTCCTGCATCCCAAAGACCAGCTAACCTTCCTCACCACAACATACTAGAATCCCAAAGGTAGCAATTGGAACTTTTTGCAAGTTTTGTTCAGACTGAAGAGTAGGATCCTTTTTGCTCCTTTTTGTCTTCATTTTACTCCTAGGAAATTTTTTGGAGTCTTTGTAGAATTGTTCCTCATTCATACACAAACTTCTAACACTTAAAATATATTTTTCAACTTTCTAATAGTCATCCTTAATGATCAATGACACACTGAAACTTGCTCAAGCAGAAGCATGGACGAAAGGTGTATGAGGTAAGACTTTATGACTCATGTTTCTGAAGGGACTAACAGACTTTTGCTTTTGGTGTTGAAACAATGTGTGTGGTGACTGGAAAATAAGAATTTCCTCACAAATGGAAGCAATAATGATGTAAATTTCCTGTTTGGATTTTCAGTTGATCTTGAAGCGGGCTTGTTCTTTCCATTTGGGCCATCCCAGGGGATTCCTACATCTGTCCTGCTTTTTGGAGGCTGGTTGGTAAGCAGGGAGACAGGAAAGACACACATATAGGTGTGCGTGTGCTTGGGGTGGGGGAGTTGCCTTGACACTCCCAAGCTTTGCTTAAAGCCAGTGAAGCCAGTCATAATTCACATTTTTCTTTCTTTCTTTTTTTTTTTTTTTAGTTGTAGATGGACAGCATGCCTGTATTTCATTTGCTTTATTTTTATGTGGTGCTAAGGATTAAACCCAATGCCTCATGCATGCTAGGCAAGGACTCTGCCACTGAGCTACAGCCCCAGCCCTTTTTTTTCTTTCTTTTTTTAAAAACATCTTATTTTACCTTCATTTACTTCATTTTATTTTTATGTGGTGCCGAAGATTGAACCCAGGACCTCACATATGCTAGGCGAGCACTTTGCCACTGAGCCACAACCCCAGCCCCTTCTTTCATTTCTTTAAAAATATTTTTTAATTCTCAATGGATCTTTTATTTTATTTATTTGTTTATATGCAATGCTGAGGATTGAGCTCAGGGCCTCACACATGCCAGGCAAGCACTCTACCACTAAGCCACAACCCCAGCCTGCTTTCATTTTTTTTTTTTTTAAGTTGTTGATAGACCTTTATTTTATTTATTTATATGTGGTGCTGAGAATCAAACCTAGTGCTTCACGCATGCCAGGCAAGTGAGTTACCAGTGAGCCACAACCCCAGCCTCCCTCACTTTCATTTTTTGATATTGTTGTTCATACTTTTCTTAAAATAACAGCTTTATTGAGAAATAATTCATATACCATATAATTCACCCATTTAAAGCACATAATTCAATGTGTTTTAGTATATTCACAGACTTGTACAATCATCACCTCAATTTCCTTTCAGAACATTTCATCTATCCAAAAAAAGGTCTTTTACCTCTTAGTAGTCACACCTACCTCCAAGCTGTAGGTAAGGACTAATCTACTTTCTGTTTCTATAGATTTACACATCTGGACATTTCATGATTACTGCCTCCCCACTCCACCCTCCATGGTTCAACTGTCATGTGTAAATGGAGACTTGACTTCCCATTGGTGGCTAACATGCAGCCTGTGCCAACCCAAATTTAAACTGAAGTGTGAAAAGGAAACTAGAAAATCAAAAATGGTAATTGTGTTTCCAGGGAGGAAAAGAGAGACATCTAATAGATATTCAATAGAAGTCATGAATTTTTTCCTTTTAGAATAATCTTAAATTTTTAACTAAATGAGGAACTGATGTAAAATGCTTTTGCTTAGATCTGGGGATGCCTAGCAGGCTCTGCCTTCAGCTCCCGCAAATTGGGGAGTATTAATCAGGGCCTTCAAGAAACTCAAACATAAGGAGAACGCAAATGAAACAATATTCTCATGCAAGAATATAAATCTCTTAAAAAAAAATCTGAAAAACAGGGGCTGGGGTTGGGGCTCAGTGGTAAAGCGCTCACCTAGCACGTGCAAGGCCCTGGGTTTGATCCTCAGCACCACATAAAAAAATAAATAAGATAAAGGTATAAAAAAGTTTTTTAAAAATCTGAAAAACAGATTAGAAATAATAGATACTATTAGATAACAAACAAGCATAACATAAGAACAGGATAATCGTTTGGAAGTAGGTGAAACCAGACATTAACCACAGATAATGGGTCTACTAAAGGATGTGTGTGTAATTTCCCCTTTCTTTTAAAACCTCTGTCTTAAATCTCTTTCCATTTAGTTGCTTTCCTGTCTAATATTTTTATTCAGTGCCCTAGAATATTCAACAAGGGAAGCATATAAATTAAAACATCAATGACTTAAAACAGTTTTAGGGAATTTACCTTGTTTCAAGAGATCTAAACAAAAAAGTTTTAGAACATGGATAAGAACCTTAGCATCATTTCCAAAAACAAACATGGCTTTACAGCAATTGGTCTTCTTACTAAAATGGATTCTGCACCAGAACTCATTAACATATTGTGACTTAGCAACAGATTCTCTGAATGTAGGATGGTGCCTCAATCTGGCTATATTTATAAAAATCACTTAGAGAGGTTTGTAGTTTCATTCTTTGCACTTCAAGGTATGAAGAGCAAAACAAAAAATTTTAAAACCCAAATACCTCACTATTATTTGTGACAAGTGACTTTAGCCAATTTTAGAGCTTATTTCTTTGGGCTTTGAATTCAGCACTAAAATAACACCCACCAAGAATTTTAGTACACATTTTAGCTAAAGATGGTTAAGACACAAAACTCACAGCCTTCATTTTGTTCCATTGCTATGTTGAAGTTGAAAATGGTGTTGGGATTTTTTTTCTTTCTCCAGAAGGAAGGAAACTTTTTTCCTGTTCCTGGGCTTCATGGTTATTTCCTCTCTTCCACTGTTGGAACCCAGCAGAGCCAACCCTTACATCAGAGGTGTCTGTTTGCACTAGGAAACTTTTGGTAAAATACCACTGGTCCTCTGAGCTTGATACAAGGAGCTTTGGGTTACTTGGTAAGTCTTTAAAAGCTACATTTTGACTATTTGGAGGTAACCCTGTGAGAGTATGTTCTATCTGGGAAGGGAGTGAGTTGAGGTAGGGTTCTGTCTGCCAAGGGGAAGGAAGAGAATGTGAGACACAGGAACTCAAGGTCACAGACTATCGGAGGCTCTCTGGGGCCACTTAATGGTCCAAGCTCTTTGGACTCATTTAATTCTGGCTATTTGGAGCAAGTATCCCCCACAGTTAGGGACAGGGAACTTATTTCCAAATCTATTAGGAAACATGGAACAGATAAGGATTTCAACCTACTGCCCTTTATTGATGAAAAAAATCTCCTGATTCCTGCCATCTTGAATCACTGCAGGGCATAATCCTAGAACTCCCTACTGAACCAGAAAAACCTCTGCCTGGGAGAATCCTTCTCTTCACATGGCCAAGGTCATCTTTCAATATATAGGGAACTTTTTGTGGAACTGCTTTTATATTATGCTAGTGGATATAGAATTTGCAACTATCTCACGATTGAGATGCAATAAAGTGCAGACTCAGTCAGTCCCCTTTTCTCCGAAGGAAGGATTCCAATGAGCTCTCAGATAACAGTCAAAAAAAAAAAAAAAAGTCAGTGCCAGGTTGTCTTAGGGGAAATACGTTTGCTGCTGTTAACCCCAGACCAGAAGAAAAGTCTTCACAGCCACAGTTCCTTCATTTATTCAACAAACATTTATTGAGCTCTTTTAATATGCCAGGCACTATTCTGAATACTCAGATTACAGAAGTGAATAAGACTCAAAATTTTTCACCCTTATAGAGCTCCTGTTTGCATGGAGAGAAGGGATACAGATGATAAATGTTAATATTTGTCCACTAAAAATCCATTTTCCTTGGAAAATGGATGCTCAGGTAAATTATATTTCCCTGCCTCCCTTAGTTAGCTGTGGTCATGGAACTGAGCTCTCGTTAATGAATGTGAATGGAAGCACTAATTCCTGGGCCAGGCTTTCACATGTTGCTTTTGCTTCTTCCATATTCTCTTCTTTTTTGCCAGCTGGATCCTGGACCTGGCAGTGACCCAGCTTCAACTAGGAAGTAGTAGAGCAACACAATGGAAAGACCACAAATCTTTGGAAGAGAGAGCAGAAATACTCTGTTGGCCTAGACTGCTCACATCTATATTCTTCAAGCCGTGGTTTTCAGGCTTTTTAATAGTCATTTAGCAATATGATAAACAATATGTAAACAAATATTGTTTTGATAACAAAAATTGTTTGATAACAACATATAAACAAATTTGTAAAACATGTCAAATGGGATAACTGTAATCAAGAAAAATAAAAGTAATGAGAATGGAGAGTATTACAAGATGGGGGAGGAATGCTCACAGTTTTAAATATGCAAGTCAATAAAGGTCTTGCTGGGATAACTTTTGAGAAAAGATGTGAAGGAGTTGTAGGAATCAAGCAGTGCAGATATATAGGGGGAGAGTATTCCTACTAGAAGGAATGGTAAGTGCAAAGGCCCTAAGGTAGGAGTATGCCAGACATATTTGAGGAGCAGAAAAGGAGGTCAGTGTATAGGAACAGAGCAGGTGAGGAGAGACTAACAGGAGACAAAGTCAGAGTTTGTGAGGGAAGAGATGAGACAAGGGAGTAGATGGTATATGGCTTTTGGTGGGTTCTTGTGAGGACACTGGCTTTTAATCTAAATGGAAAGGAGAACCATGGAAGTGCTTTCAGCCACAGGAGCAATATGATCTAGCTTCTGTTTTAATAGGAGTCTTCTAGCTTCTGTGTTAAGGAAATCAAGGGTAGAAGTGGGAGACCTATTACAAAGCTATAGCAATAATCTAGTTGGGAAGTGATGGTGGCTTGGTCCAAGATTATACCAATAGCAGTGATGAGAGATGGTCAGATTTCAGCTATATTTTGAAGGTAGAGCCAACAGAAGTTGCTGATGCAATGGATGTGGGGTGTAAGAGAAATAGAAAAGTCAAAGGTAACTTGAAAAATTAGAAGACCGGAGTTTTCATTTATTGAATCAGGGAAGATTCTGTGAAGAGCAGGTTTGAGAGCAAAGGAAAAAAAAACTAATTTGGGGGCATGTTAAGCTTGAGGTGCCTCTTAGACATCCAAATAGAGATGCTGGGTAGGCAGATGGATATAAAGATCTGTACTGAAACATGATCACCTTTATGAATATTAGATATTCACAAGGCAGGGAATGCAATATGGCTGATTAGAGCACCCCGTATATGCCTGCTTCTCCACAAGAAAGCATCAGTACATACATGAGAATTAAATTTAATTATATGGAATTAAATGAGAATTAAATTATATGAGATTTAAATTGAATTATATGACTTATATGGAATCACCAATGAAGGGAGAGCAAATGGAAAAGCAGTGTAAAAATGGAGACCTGGGGCCTGCCAATCTTTACAGTTTGGATTTTTGAAAAAGAACAAGCAAGGGTGACTGAGAAAGAGGTATCAATGAGGTAGGAAGAAGGCCAAGTGAGTCTGGCATCCTGAAAACTTGAGGAAAAAAATCAGTTTCAAGGAGATGTTTACCAAGGGACACTAAAGAACAGACAGGGAACATTGCTGGGAAAACAAACAAAAAACCCCAAAACCAAAAAAATGCAGATGCTATGTCCATCATTTGTCAACTCTGACACCTTGAGTGAGTCTCTTAATAAAACTGAAGTCCAGAGAGTTGATCTGAAGAAGGGAAGGGGACAAGTAAACTTAATGATCCAAAAGCTTTCTTCAAGCTATATATTTTGAGGGAAGGAAGAAAAAAAAAAAAGGCAAAAACTTCAGTGTGAATTTGTTTTCATTCCTTTCCTAGATTGTAAAGTTGTTTCCCTACCCTTAAAAAAACAAAAACAAAAACAAGTCCTATACACCTGCATCCCCCACAGTGCCTTATGGCCAGTATATAGCCAACACAAAGATTTGATAATTCCACAAGGAACTCTTCAGCCTTACCTTTGTCTGAATACTGAGAGGATTAAAGATGAAACTGGTAGATGAAACAGAGCTATGTTCCCCTGAGAATGGAGTCCAGGAGGACACAGACCTGCCAGTTCCATATGAAGTGCACAGACATCACCCATCTCTTGCCACCCTCTTTTGAAGCAAATCTTTCACTCATCCCTTTGAAGTTTACTCAAAGATAAGTCTCACTTTTTCCTTTCCTTTTTCTGGTACATTTCATCCATCACAGATGCTAAAGGGAAAGAAAAGCAGGCAGGTAAAGAGGAAAAGATTTTTTAGAGAGACAAAAGACAAATGTACAAATAGAGCCATGAACTCCCAAGCAAAACTTATTGGGCATAATTACTTTTTTACTTCATTAATAGGAAATATTCATTCTAGTAGTTATTTCCAATTAGTTTTAGCTATCCTTTTCCAAAGGTATTAAATACTGACTAAGGTTTTGAATTGACTCATTTTCTTTTTTGAGTTTGTATCATGTCGCTTGATTGCTTTTATGAACACTAGATATTCACAAGGCAGGGGATTCAAGATGGAGGATTGGAGGTACCTAGCACTCACTTGCTTCTCCCATGAGATAGAATTAAAATAACTTGAGAGCAGCTGCTTACTTAGGTGGGTGATTGTGGGAGAATGCTGGAGTTTAATAGTAGACAGACAGACTTGGAGAAACCTAAAGATTTTCCAAGTGGAATAAAGGGTGAAACAGCATCCATCTCATGGAAGAGGAGTACAGGGAGGGGAAGTGCCTCTTTGGGGATGGGGTAGAAGTAAAAGAGGAAGAGACTCAGTAAGCACCACTGGTATAGGCTTCAGCACTCTGCAGAAATATAGTCTAAACAGATAGAATACCTGGGATTTGTGTTGTGAACTGGATCTAGAAAAGTTCTTTGTACTTCTCAGCATATTATCATGGTATTATTACTAGGAGCCATTTTGAGAAAGGTCCTATTGTCTAAGCTTTCTGCTCTAAAGGTAAAGAGACCCTAAATTGTCCTCTCTGGAACCCCAAGGAAGTATTAGTACATTGACTCAGTCAAGTTGTGGGGTTATAGGGGTGGGGTTTTGACATAAACTAAGAATTCTATGATTTGGGAGACCAGACAACAATGAGGGAGGGAATAGAAGGCACTTCTCTTTGGAATTGGCAGTTTGGCAGGCTAGTTGATGAGACCTAGCGGAACAAGCAAGTCATGTGTGACTACATACACTTGGGAGCCAGGACTGAGAACACCAGAATCCTGGGCAACAGATTACACAGATTCTGCCATCTCTCTGATCCCAGTACTACAGATCTTTGAGACTCCATATCATTTCACCATCCTAGGGAGCATACTGGGTCATGTAGCAGAGCTGATATTACCCTCACGCTCCAAGCATGTAGCATGAAAAGCTCCAGAGAGAACAACTGGAGAGTTCTGCATGCTGCCTTGGCTTACTGACATACTGCAGCCTCTGAAAAAATTTTTACCTGGCAAGTTCTGCATTCTGCCCAAACTTGTCCAGCATGCAAAGCAGTTGGGAGGGAGTCAAACTGATTCTAGCCACAAATAAATCCTGATGGTCACCTGACAAGCACCACAAAGGGAAAAAAGGAGGTGAATGACCCTCTGCCTTTGCTCTGACCAAGGGGTGCACAGCTCAAGAAGACACAGAGAAGCTTTGATTGGCACAGGCAATATCCACTCTTGACTGCTCAGTTGAGCACTTCAGTGGGGAGGAAATTTTTATTAATTCTTTTTATTTTTTTAGATTGCTGTTTTGTGGTCTTTATGTCTTGCTCCTCTTCTTTTTAAAATTTGATTTTTTCTTTCCCCCTTTTAGAAAATGGTTTTCCTACATTCCCTCTCCCTTTCCTCTTTAATTTTTAACTTTTTCTTTCTTCTTTTCTCCTATTTTCCCACTTTTGTACTTTTTTCCTACTATCTTTTTTACTTTTTCAAATGTTTATTTATTTTATTTTTCTTGTTTTTTAACTTTTTATTCTGGTATTGTCCCTTTTCTATTTGTTGTTGATGGTGTTGCTATTGTTTTTATTTGTTTTTTCTTTCTTTCTTTGTCTGGGTTTTCTTTCCTTTCCATTCCCCTCTCTTCTCTCCTTCCTTCCTACCTTATTCATAGCACTGGGGATTGAGCTAGGAACTTCATGCTATATAATAGGTAGGTACTCTGCTGCTGGGCTACACTCTCAACATAGTTCCCAGAAAGGAACTGTCCTTGCTCTAGCCATGAACCAGTCCTGTTTGAAAGTTGGTAGATAGTTCTGCCAAGGCTGGACTTGGCACAAGATTCAGGAGACACTCACAGCTTTGTAGGTTCAAACAGCAATTCTTTATTCCAGCTCTCACACCACCTCCACACAGGTCCAGGGGCAAACGCGTTCTCCTGTCTCCCGCACAAACCACCTA